TTCTCTGGACATGTGGATTGCTTGGACTATACCCTCCACTGTGCGTTGCTATGTTCTTTACAGTACTTGAAAATATAAGTATAGTTTAAAGTAAGCTACAGTGGAGTTATGGCAACTTGAGAGCCTGATGAGATTGCACACCACTGAAGTAAGCACAGATGTATGCATTATGCACTTTGTTCTCTGCCTCAGAACTATTGTACTTCCTGAATCTGCACTGGTTCTGTATGCCCTAGAGTCTCTCTTGCACAGTAGTATCTGCTGGTTCTTGTAAATCACACTGCAACATGTCTACAAGAGCTTTGTTGTTTTGAAATTTTCTGTAATAAAATAAATGTTCTTACCCCCTGTGCAAGTGCTACCCAAGAGGGGAGCCACTCACTTTATTCTAAGGCTAGAGTGTTGGAAAAATTAACAGAAAAATTAATAGCTTCATCAGCATTAGATGGTTTTACTTCATTTTGCCTGGGACAACTCTAACTTCCTATGTGTAGAGGGAAGAGGGGATTGAGACGTAATAAATTGTGAGGCAAGATCAAAGAGCAAACTTTATCTATAGTATGAGTATGGTGTAGGGGGAGTTAAAATACCTGACAGTACTGCTATGCTGGGATAATAAATATCTACAAAGGTCGTTATTTTTTATGCTTCTTTTCCATCAATGTGATCTTTTATGTTCCAAAGCAGCCGAATTACAAAACACAAATGGAAAATCCTCTTCAGAGTAACTTAATGTGGCTTCATGTGCCTGTGCTTATGATTAAATGACCTTATCCAGTCCACAAGCACATAGGGCAACATGGAACATAAATTTGCTCTTTCCACAGCAAGATGAAAGGGAGGATCAAGGTTTAACTGTGAAATGGGAATGAAAGAGGCTTTAGAGCTTTGCAGCTCCAAAGGAACTTGGTTCTGGTCTCCGTTTGGGTCTCAACTCCAAGAAAAAATACTAATTTACATTTAGCAGTTGCTGAAAGAATTCAGAGAACAGAAGGAGGAAGTAAGGGCCCTAACCTCTTTGTTACCCAGCCTACCTCCTGGGCTCCACAGCAAATCTCTCGATAGTCCCAGATTTAATGTGATATAGGGTAGAAACCAGCACAAGCTCCCTCCCTCCCCAAAGCTCCTGCCCTGATGGGCAGGCAGTTAACACATTGCTGCAGGCTGTAATTTCAAACACTTTCAGTGAATAAATAGATCCCAAGTTTACTCTTTCCTGTATTAGTCTGCAGCTACCCAGTCTTCACTCAAGAGGGGACAGTACAACTACTTAAATATGTAAGGCGAACTGAGGTGCTGCTGTGTCCTAAATACAGATGAATGAGCCCTGCAGAGGATTCATCACTGCCAATGTAGTCAAAGCAGTAGCACTTCTTGTCACATCCAGAAGCTTATCCTGGGGAAATCCACTCCAGGAAAACTGATGGACAGGCCTTTGGGAAAGCAGGAAGACAAGAATTCATAAACAGTATGAAAAGCTGTAACTGAAACTTTTACTGGGACTTTTGAAAACTTTTTTTTTTTAAGATTTAAAATATTTGATTATCTCTCTTAAAAACGAAATATATTATTCTCTCACATAAACAAAATTCCCTTCTAAAAAGGAATGCTTTACATGGCTCTGCAGGCACCACTGGTGATTTGTTTCTACATTAAAAAAGTAATATTCCTCTGTGAGTAATCTGTTGGTCAGGGTATCTGCTTTCGGGGTATGTCCACGAGAATTTTCAGAGACACCGGAAACAGTCAGGAATAAATTGTAACTGAGTTTTAAGTAGGACTGCGTGATGCTGCTGCTGCTGCCGCTCATCTGTGACACGTCTGTGCGCTTAAATCAGTTTCTATCAGCCATCGCAAGTGGCAGCGCAACTCTGAGCCGCCTCCACTCTTGTCACCTCCGAAACCTTTCAGCCCCGGGCACTCGGGTGTGGGAGGGGCAGCAGGGGCTGCGGGGCTCGGGGACCGCCCGTCCCGCGGCTGTCGGGGCCGCCGCCGCTCCCCGCCCCGGAGCCGGCCCGGCCGCCCGTCCCGCTTCGCACGGCTGGCCCCAATTTCGGTTTCACTTCTTCCGTCTATGGGCAGAGTGTTTCCTCATGGTTTTCGCGTGCTGAGGAACTCGCGCAGTGGCGGGATGCTTCCAGACTAAAGGGGATAAAGCCACAGGTTAGTGGGTAAAATTCTTTACTTCATAGTAATAAATGTGGATGTCGAGGTGCAAAGGCAAAGGGCTGCTCAGGAGTTTCGATGATTTCCTTGATCTTGGATTTCTCTTAACTTTCAAGCCAAGTCGGTGCCACTGAGTGTACTTTGGTGCTTGTGCCCGGATACTGGTCTCCAGCGGGCAGAAGGTATTTTTGCGTTTTTAAAGAAAAGTCCCTCCTGGGGAGATGTTGAATGCTTTCTTGCTAAATTCCTGAGTTTTTGAAGTTCTTGCTCATAATGTTAAAACTAATTCTTTCTTTTGCCCATCTGTAAAAGTGTCCTTTAAGTCTGATTACGGGTGTGTGCTTTCTTCGCTAGACTCCCAGTCAAAGCTAAAACACGTAAAGGTGACTCCAAATATCCTGCGAGAAAAAAACAGAAAAAGGCACCCCATCGGACCTTGCTGGAAGTCAACCAAGGAATTCACTTTATGATTGTGCAGTACATTTCTTGTGCCTTTCAAACTTAGAGAGGAGCTGGCAACAACAGCTGCAAAGCCTGGCAGCTATCTCATCACCCTAAAACAAACCCTGAGGTGGATACAGACCAGGATGCAAGCTTCTGCCACAGACAAGCTTCCCTTTTGTTCTCCTCAGCGTTTCCAGCAGCTAAGGTGCAGAGAAATGAAGCAGGACAAGTGGGCCTTTATTTTCCTCAGCTATAGGGACATGCGTGCTGTGTTTGGCAGCAGCTGTAGCAGGTCAGGCTGCCTGCAGGACCAACAGGTTCAGTTCCTTGCTGTCCCCACCCCTTCCCTGTTTGCCAGTGGTGAGGGAGTGGAGAGCCAGGCTGGGTGAGCTGCAGAACGTGGGTCAGGTCGACATGCAGTAATCAATAAGGGAATTGTTTTTCATTAAGGTTTATTTTAAGTCATCTTTTGTAGTCTTTTGTGTAAGCCTTTGCAATGCTTTAGGTCAGTCTATGCTTGTACCTCACTCCCATGGGATTTTACTGATGTCTGTCCTTAGATGGTCAGGTAGCTCCCACAGTGCCACTCACAAGGTTCCCCTCTGGCCACTATAATGTGACTTTTTGTCATTGGAGCAGTCCTAAAGTGTGTCCTCTGGAAAGGCAGGTCAGCTATGGAGCCAAACTCTGCTGGGGTCTGACCTTCTAACCTCCTGCTTAGCTGAAGGTTGCAGTGTCAATTCCTTAGAGTGTCCTGTTAATCTAATGAAAACTCATCTCTTTAGAAAACATCAGTTCTGAAGGATTCTACTTTTTCTGTACAGATGTGCTGGTTCAATTTCTTGTCTCATTTCTTGCTTTATTGTTTACTATTGTGCAATACTCTAAGGTGCTAAAATCTTGATCATGTTAATTAAACACAGATTCCAAGAAAAAGAAAATGGGAACTGTAGAGCTAAGAAAGCTCATATTCCTGGGAGTTAGTCTTTTGAGAAGCTCTTCCTGTTAAGTCTAGGAAGGTTTATTATCATCTATAACCTGTTTTGTACTGGGGCACTGATACCCTTCTCTAGCTGGGAGCCCATCATGCTGAGAATTTAACTCATTCGTAAATTGAGGTTGGCAGGTAGGTTCCAAATTTACTGGCAGAAGGCAATACTGATATGTGTATATTGAGACTGTGGAGACAGCTTCAGGGTGGAAAGTATAAGCTTTCTGTTTTTAAAAAAAGGAAAAAACTGAAGAAAGGAACCTTAGCTTACTGTTCTCTGCTAAAGCATGGAAAAAACATTCTGGCAAGCACTCACAAAGTATTTGTTCTCCCTCTACTAAAAATTAATTTTGTAGAGAATAATACGGAAGATACAGAGAACTCCTGATTAGCAGAAAGGCTATTTATTAGACAAGCTCTGTGACTCAGCAGTCTGGTCAAACTCTTCTGAGTTCTTACATCTCTACTCTGGTCAGAATTTATGTGGCATTAATTTTCTTCTTTATCCAGTAAAGCTGCGTTACAAGATCACTAGGTGAATTTAAATCTAATGGATATTGTATGAAAATGAACAAAATGTGAAAAAGCCTGAGATTCATTAGAAATGTAATGACTAAACAGGAAGAGCCATAGAATGGACAGAGGTTGATACTGTTATGGAAATGTTCAAACTGTTCTGGGTGGGGTATATAAATTATTAAATGTGTAAGTTTTCCTGGAAGTATTTGGATAAATGTACTGAATCTGTGAGCAGTGTCTACATTTTGGCTCTTCTCCATTTCTCTGATTAGGTTGGTACTGATTTATTTTGTCTGCTCTTACTTTCTCATACAATTTACTATACCTTGGTATTCCTTCTTTTGCTATGAGATGGAAAGATGGTTAGAATTTTGTGACTAGCTTGTAAAATAAAAATTGGCAAGAACTGTAAAATGAAGTGGTATATTATGTATTCTTACTATATACTATATATATACTATATACTGCATATAAATATAAATATTTTACGTGTAGTTAAGCTCAGAGCTCAGTGATTAACATTGAGGGGTCTGTGTACAATTTATTATATTTATTGTATTTTATGCATGTTAAAGCAATGCTAAATTAATCAGAAAAGGGAAAATGGTTGGAAATTTGCATTGATAGTAGATAAAGTTGGTAGCTTTTTAAACATACCTATTTTTATGTTAGACAATATTACACTTTTAAATGAAAGTCTTTATTTAGAGAGATGATTAGACAACTCTTCTGGAGAAAAGAATGCTACTTTTTTGGTTAAAAACACTGAGTGGTTTCTCAGTACAAAACATATTTTTTGAGCCTGACTGGCGTAGCCTTCCATTTAAGATGCAAGTTGTGTCAAAATGATTGTAATTTGCGCTATGTTCATTTTGCCTTTGCAGATAAAATGATGGGAAGTGCAATTCTTTGGTGGAGCAGCTTATCTGTCAGACTCTTGTTTGTCTGTTGGCTGTGTGCATCAGTTGGAAAGCAATGTCAGATCCGAAATGAAATGGCTGACTGCAGTCACCTAAAGCTGACTCAAATTCCCTCAGATCTTCCAAGCAATATAACGGGTTTGGACATTTCTCATAATCAGCTAAAACATCTGGGTCCTGCGAATCTGACCAAATACAGCCGACTGGTTTACTTGAATGCAGGCTACAACATCATCTCTAAACTGCAACCAGAATTGTGTCAATATGTGCCCCTATTGCAGATTCTGAAGTTAGAACATAATGTATTGAATAAGCTCCCTGACAGAGTCTTTGCTTCCTGCGCCAACCTGACTGAGCTCAAACTAGGATACAACAGACTAAATATAAAAAATGATATTTTCAAACCCCTGGAGGTAAGCTTTAGAAATGCACATTTTGATGTAAATAAAGAATAAATAAGGAAATTACTGTATTTTCCAGTGTGTTTACAGAACAGCTGCCTTTGCATCTGAAAATAACCAAAATATAATCTTCCATAGTTTTTCTAAAGAAGAGACCTAGTGGCTTTTTCTGTTAAAGCACACCGGAGTCTCAGCCATCCTTACGAATCAACGCTCTCTATTCCTTTTTCCCTATTGCATCCCTTTCAGGCACCTCTCCATAAAGGATATGTGCCGAGAGGACAGCAGCAGCAGCTAATGTATTGGGCAAAGTGGATGGTGTGGAATCTGAGTTGCCTGGGGTCTAAAAGTGGTAGCTGGCCTAAGTTCTCAAGGTTGAGGTGTAATTATTCAGACCTTGAAGGCCAGTGTTTAGGTTGAATGTAGTGTCTCTCAGGACTTTATGAACTGACAAAGAGTAAAAAGGGTTTTAATTTACCTTTGTTTTTCCTAGTAGTTTACATGTGGTTAGACGCTATTCTCTGTAGCAGAGGTTGGAGGATCAGCACGGGAGGCAGGAAAGGACTATTCTACTGTCTTTGCACCAGGTAGAGAGAATCATGCAAAAGGAAGAGCCTAAGGACAAAAGAAAGTAGAGACATTATGTGGATACTAATTGTTGTTCAGTGTTCTAATGAGTGTGCATGTTGTTTAGAACAAGTCTGAAGTTTTCTGCTATATACAGTATTCCAGTTCAGTTACATAAAAAGTATTTGTTTGCACTGTAGGACTGCTGACTCTCAACTAAATAAGAGTGCAGCCAGCTTCCATGCTGGGAACAGAACTGAAGTTCTAGCCTTCCTCACTTTGCTGCTGCCCCATTACTGATGAAGGCCAGGCTTGGGGCACCTCTGTGCACATTCTGCAGACTTGCCTTTAGGGGACAGCATATCCTCTGCAGGTGCAGGAGGAATCTGAGCACCTGGGCATGAGCTGAAGTATTGCAAAGTGCACAGTACTGATCTTTTGAGGCTGCTACTGCACTCCTCTTCCCCTTCCTCACATTCATTTATGGGGCTGGACCACAGTGAAGAGAGTGGAATGCAAAGTTTAATACTGAGGTAGTTGTAACTGCAGCCATCTCTAGGCTTTTGCTTTTATCACTTATCTGGAGCAGGAGGGCTTTCAGTGAATTAAGGAATTTTAGCTAAAGTAGTTCTTTGGTTTGCCATAGATACTTCAGCAGATTAAGAACATGAACACTAGGAAAGTTACAGTCGTGAAAGACACAGAAGGCTTCTTCCTGCAGGATCTTGAAAGCTGCTATGTCCCTATTACAAATTTATTTTAGTTGTAGCATTGCAACTAATTCTAATCAGCTTCTGATGAAGTATTTCTAATTTTTTTTTTTTATGGTATACATCTTCTCTCCAGAACTTGAATATTTTGGACCTATCTCATAATTCTTTGAAGTCGGCCAATTTAGGATTGGAGCAACAGTTGAAGAACCTTCATGAGCTCATGTTGGGTAGCAACCAAATCACTGAATTAAAAAAAGATGACTTTGGTTTTCTTAGCAACACCTCATTGAATAGCCTTGATTTGTCATCAAATCCACTGAAAGAGGTAGGAAGCATTTGAACAGAAATTCAATGGGTGTAAGTATAAAATGGAACTATCCTGATTTATTCTTTATGGTTATATGGCATTTATGTTACAATTTTGATCCACTGAGGTCAAAGATAAAACCATTCTGTTGTATAGGGCATTACTCCTGATCTCTAGTAGTGGTACACATAATTATTTTCCTCCCACTGAAATTGGCACAGGCTGGTTCCATGTTGGTCAGAGGTCTCAGGCAAAAGCTGTATCAAGATGCTCTGAGAACCCTTACCTGCTACTTCCCATGCAGATTTTTTTTTGTACATGCCAAAGGTGAACATCTGATATACTTTCTAAGTAGGGAAAAGTTGATATTACGCAAGGCTGGTTACACAATCCAGGTGTTACTTCCTAGTTAATCAAAGAGAACGTTCACTTGTGCCTATGGGCTACCCCAGAGAAATAATCATTGCAGAAAAGTATACTCCTTTTAAAAAACACGTGAGCGTGTTGTCTCTTTCACCTATGTCACTGTGCTCTCTGACCTGCTTCTCAGTGTTGTGATTCATTCAAGAGTGATGGGTGTGGCAGTTCTAAATTAGTTGACCCTCAGCATATGAATACTGAATATGTATTGAATTTCCTTGGTATGTTTGGTTTGGTTTTCTGTTTGTTTTGTTTCCCACTTGATTGATCTTCAAAGAACTTGTACATTGAAATTACAAGAATATTTTAAAGTGGCATAAGCTTGTACCACTGCTAAGAGGTAATCCCAACACCATCTTTTGCTTGGCCACTTCACCCCTCCCTCTTTCTGATACCAGCTTTAATGAGGCTCTGCATTGCATCATTGGGGAAACTCTACAGATTTTTTTTGGCTTGGTTAGCTTGTAGTCACACTACTTCTCTATTTGGTTCACCATGTGACTACAGGTATGGCCATACTGGCACAGGGATACAGCGCATGGATAAGTAGATGGGATTGCTCCTTTCTTGGGCAGTGCTACTGAACACTAATTTCAACTACTCAGATTTTACAGTAATGCTATCTGAAAGCAGCCTTATGCATTTGAATCATTTTGACAAATGGAGTATTTAATCACTCAGCTGGCACCTTAATCAAGATGAGGAGCCAGTGTTATGATAGAACCTTGTGATTCATATTGTGGAAGCAAGTGTGAGCATTACATTTCATAGTAGCTTCTGCTTGCACGGAGAAACTGGGTTTCTTCTTGGCTGTCTGAAGACCTAACCTTTTTACAGTATATCTGGTTTTGCTTTAGGATGTTGGTATCCCTAGCAGATACCAAAAAAGAAAGCTGAAGGAAGATTTTTATCACAATTTTTAGGATACTTCTAGAGAAAGAGTTTCAGTAGTTGGATAGAAAATTGTAATTAACTTGCATCTCACTAAGCAACTTCCTATCTTCTTCTAAAAAATGCTACTTAGATGTATGATAATCATGTTATAAGTTATAGAAGTATTATCACAAGAAGTGTAAACTCCAAGAAGGGTTTGTCTGAACTTGGCTGTGAAACAATCTGAGTGTAGGAATTCTATTTTGCTTGAAAATCTCATTTGAAAACCTTTTCAATATTTGGCTTTATTCATCAGCTGTCTTACATAATCCCCTTGTTTAGGTCAAGACTCTTTTTTTCCTTTTCCTTTCAGTTTCATATGGGATGTTTACAAACAATTGGAAATCTGTTTGGCCTCATACTGAACAATGTTGAACTTGGTGAAAATGGCACAAAGAAACTTTGTACGGAATTATCAAACACAGCGATTCAGAACCTCTCGCTGAGCTATGTGAAACTTTCATACGTTGGGAAGTCAACTTTCCAGGGACTGCAAGGAACAAATCTTACAATTTTAAACCTTTCCCAAAATTCTCTGTCTGTGATAGAAGATGACTCATTTCAGTGGCTTTCAAGTTTACAATACTTAAACCTGAAGCATAATAATATTCATGTATCTTCACGTTCATTTTATGGATTATCCAGTCTTAAACATCTGAATCTCATAAATTCACTTACTGAGAAAATAGAAGATTTTTCCTTTCAGTGGTTATACCACCTGGAGTACCTTATAATGGATAATAACAATTTTCCAGGAATTACTGCTAATATGTTTACAGGTCTGAACAACCTGAAATACCTGAGCCTCTATAACTGCAACATAAACTTACAAAGAATAACTAATAAAACATTTTCATCACTTGGTAATTCCAGTTTGCAGGTTCTCAACCTCACAAAAACCAGAATCTCTACAATAGAAAGTGGGGCATTTTCTTCCTTGGGACACCTGAAAATGCTTGATCTTGGTCTCAATGAAATTAGTCAACAGCTCACAGGTCATGAGTTTAAAGGTCTCTATAATATACAAGATATTTATCTTTCTTATAATAAAAACTTGACTTTGCGAAGTGAATCATTCATTTTTGTCCCAAGCCTTAGAAAACTGATGCTAAGGAAAGTAGGTTGCAGTAATCTGGCACTTTCTCCTTCGCCTTTTCATCCTCTACAAAATCTGACTGTCCTGGACATCAGCAATAACAACATAGCAAACATAAAAGAAGACTTGTTTGATGGACTTGACAAACTTGTCTTACTGGATTTGCAGCACAATAATTTAGCTCGACTTTGGAAATGTGCAAATCCAGGTGGCCCTGTTCTTTTTTTAAAAAATCTTCCCAATTTGCAAATTCTTAATTTAAAATCAAATGGGCTTGATGAAATTCCAGTTCAGGTTTTCAAGGGTCTGTTTCAATTAAAACACTTGGATTTAGGATCGAATAATTTGAATTTGCTTCCAGCAACTCTGTTTGATGACCAAGCCTCTCTGAATTCATTGAACCTTCAGAAAAATCTGATAACCTCAGTTGAAGAAGAAGTATTTGGCCCACCTTTCAAGAGCTTGAGAAAACTAGAGATGGATTCCAACCCTTTTGATTGTACCTGTGAAAGCATTGCTTGGTTTGCTGATTGGCTTAATATGACCCAAGTAGATATACCTGGACTACGGTCTCAATACATTTGCAATACCCCACCTAAATATCACGGTAGTCTGGTTTTGTATTTTGATAGCTCGGCCTGCAAAGACAGTGCTCCATTTAAACTTCTTTTTGTGATCTCTACCACTATTGTGATGCTACTCATTTTTATTGTCCTTACCATCCATTTTGAAGGGTGGAGAATAGCTTTCTACTGGAATATTTTAGTAAATCGAATACTTGGTTTTAAAGAACTTGACAGACAACAGGAAGAGTTTTATTATGATGCCTACGTTATTCATGCAAGAGAGGACAAGAACTGGGTGTCTAAAAATTTCATTTCTCTGGAAAAAAATAACCATTTTGAAATTAGGTTTTGTTTAGAAGAACGGGACTTTGAAGCAGGCATATCTGAATTTGAAGCCACAATTAACAGTATAAAAATGAGCAGGAAGATTATTTTTGTTGTGACTGAACACCTCTTACAGGATCCCTGGTGTAAAAAGTGAGTAGGATATAAAATTTTATCTGTAAGGGAGAAACGTTCTTAAGAGATCTTTTTAACTAGATAATTTTTTATGTGTAATTTAATACAAAATAGCATTTCATTAAAATAAACCACCACATAAAATCTATTTTAATATATTTACTTAATATATTGTAACTTCAGAATAATTCCTAAGTTAGTAAAGTTAATTGCTCTGCATGTACACCAGTGGATATTTGAATATCTCAGTCAGTGTTTTAGGCATTTTGGTTTGTGTGGGGTTTTTTTGTGGGTGTTTTTTTTTTTTTAATTTTTTTTTTTTCAAAAGTCAAGCTGCCATCTGCGCAGATTGCTTTCCTTAAAATTACAGTTTTGAAAAAGTGCAACAATGGATGAGACCACTAGCATCCAAAGATGATTTTTATTTGCCTTTAAATGAGTCTTTTCACCTTCCTTATGCAGTGATCTTGTAAAGAAAGGAAATTTTCTAAATAAGGGTATATCAAGATAGTAGATTTAGGTTATATTTTTAGAGGATAATTTTTTTTTTAGCTAGAAGGCAACTAATTTAAGAAAAGTAATGACCATTCTATATCACAAAATAGACATTAAGACCCCTCTTAAGAACTGTTTGTATTTTTTTTCCCCACATGAAAAAAACCCACTTTTTATTTTTGTCTTGTTTTTGCTTTAGATTCAAGGTGTATCATGCTCTTCAGCAAGCTATTGAGCAAAGTCGGGACTCCATCATCCTGATCTTTCTTCATGATATCCAAGATTTCAAGTTGTATCATGCACTTCACCTGAGAAGAGGAATGTTCAGATCTCGTTGCATCTTGAACTGGCCAGCCCAGAGAGAACGAGTCAGTGCATTTCATCAGCAATTAGTGATGGCACTTAAATCTAGTAGTAAAGTGCACTGATTTTTTTGAAAGTACAGATTTGAATTATGGGGTCATTTTATTGTATATTTTCTATCACTAGAAAACTAACAAGCCTTCATGAACATCTGAAAAGGTTTGTCATGCTGGAAAGATATGTAAGAGTTGCTATGATTTATATTGTCTATGTTCATATTTTTGCTGATATTTTAACTCAGCTGCACTGATGTTAAAATGGATCATGATTGATAGTCATTTCAGTCAGTGTATTAAAAATGAGGTAGAAATTCTGAAATGCAGTGAGAATGACTGATGTTCTAGGAAAAATGCCCATCTGATGTAGGATAGAAGAGACATAAACTCTAAGGGGATATGCAAAAAAGAATGCATTAATGATAAAACCAGCAAATTCTGTGTAGACGGTAGAGTGGACACTACTTCTTGCTTTTGTAACACAAATGGAGATTCAGTGAAACTAAAACTGGAAAGCTTTCCTTCTGTGAAACACAGTAAGTAGCATGGAAAGTTACTTCTGTAGTTCAAATCAAGAAGCAGCAGTTACTAAGTGAGTTTTAAAATTTTTGTTTTAAGAGAAAGTCACTAGGCCCTGTGAACAGGCTATTCAGAACATGCAGTGAAGGATTTGCTTATGCCTTCTGGGTGGGGCTAATACTGGTGACTAAGAAAATTGACTTTCAGGCTGATGACGCAACTGATTTAATCAATTTGGTGTCATGAAAAAATTTTTTTGCTCTTCCCAGCTGGCAGAAGGACATTTGGACTTACAGATGTCACCTTGATTCTTTGGATGCATGTAAACCTGTCTGTGGGCCTGTAAATAGAAACTGAAATCAATGTGAAAGGCAGCCAAGGCACAGCTGCTGCACCTGCATAAAATGAGTAAAGACACAGATATTTGTATAGTATAACTAGAAGACAACTTTGTGGAGAAAGTGGTGCTACTGTAATTTCATTACCAAAATTTTTTTACTGGTGAAACAACTAAAAAACCATAACCCTCCCCCCTCAAAGAAATAGTTTCAATTGGTATCAGAAACATTATTTTTTCTTAACAGTTACAGGTGGAGTGGGAGAAAATGTCAAAAGTAGAGGAATTTCAAATTTTTTGTTCCCTTTTTCTTCATGACTGTACATAGTTTTGCCTCTGATAGCTAAAAAAATTAATTTCTTGTCTATTAATCTAGTTTGCTTTTTTTCCTTAACATACTTTACAGAAACATGGGCTAGTTGGCAGTCACCAGGGCATTAAGGTTCAAACATATGAACTACCAGCTTGATCTGGAGAGAGCTGAGACTGAGCAAAATGTGCTCTGAAAGGATATTTATAATGTTTAAGACTGGTCAAAATGTTATGGTGTGTCTGAGCACAATTTATTGTAAATTAGACACTAGACTGTCATTTGTGTATTTTTGTTAATATTTAATTGTTGCTATAAGAACTTTATAAAACTGTGTCAACTTTTGGTAGGTGTGTGATCCTTCAATAGCTCAGGAATATATTAAAATATTTTTTAAATTTTTCCCCTAGCATATCCCTCATCAATTTCAATACCACCATTACTACAAGAATGTTGTTTTACTGCTTTAGAAAACAGCTTGCAAATAGTTCTGTACTTAACATTTTAAACAGCTTCTCTCCTGATTTGTTTTATGCATAGATGAAAAACACTGGGTTTTAATGGGTTTCTTATGTCCCATGATGATAAAAACCTAACTGAGACAAATAATTAATAAAATAGGTTTTGCATGCACTGGAATAGTGAAGGGGGTGTAGATGTCCTCACTTGCTTACAAGTCCTGAGTGAAGACAAAAAGGCTTTGTTTACAGCTGAAGTGATAGATGATGATTCTGTAATTACAGTAATAGGATTATCCCCTTTGTGATGCTTTCATCTCATCTTTCTGACCTTTTCAGGCAAGTGACAAATTCTTTCTTTATGCTTAGGCCATGAAAATTGAGGAGGCAAGTTGGTAAGGATGGCATGCCAGGTATGCACCATGTCATTTGTTCTTTCTCTTATTTAAAGACTGACATGTGAAAGGGTTCCTATGTTTCCTAAATCTGTACTGACACATAGCAGCAGAATTTCTCTTTCCACATCAATATAAATAGTTTCAAAAATGTTAGCAGTTCACATGATATAAAAATGACATAAAAATGCAGAGAATGCATGGAAAAATACTGAGGTGAAATGTGATACAAGAGGTCAGACTATATGATCAAATGTTTTTTTTCTGACCCTTAAAGCCTGACAAATGACAGCATGTGTAAATTCTATAAAAATTTTTTTACTTACTACAAATGCCCACAAAGTTGGTTTCAGAACATGAAAAAAATAATTATGGATGCTCAGTTTTGTAATATAGCTACAAATACAAACTAAAAGTACTTGCTGCTGAGTGTAACGATAAAAATATGATTATGATTTCTAAATTGTTATTTTAATACGTAGATTCAGTTTAAAGTAATTTCCTGAAGAAAAAGACATTATAAAGGCTCACAATGGGAATTAGACTAATGTTTTAAAAAAAGAAAGCACAAGGGCAATAAGGACAGGGCTGGTGGTTATCAGTTTTACCAGACAAAATTTTCACATAAATTTTCCCTGTTTGTCTGGAAGTTACCTACTCCTGCTCTGGTCCTGTGCGTTTGTTTGACAATATTACTGAGACTACATAAATGGGCTTACCATGGCTAAGAGTTGTAAGTGCTTTCAGGATTCACAGTCTGTATCTGAGCTGTCTAGTTTCTTTGCACTGGGCAGCATCAGACTATATTATGCTGATTTGCTGAGGAGTTGAACGCCAAATACGTGAGAAGTAGTTCCAAACCTGTAATGACAAAGATACTACCTAGGACTAAAGAGAAATCATTTGTATTGAAGGCAGAATATGTAAAGGACTCGAGTAAGGCAGAATGCTCAGCTCTGGAGATTTGGGGTGGAACCTGACTGTTTCTGTGGATCTTGAATGACAGGGAGTCATCGTTTAGGAATGGTGTTCCCCAATTTAGTGTCCCCACTGAAACACTCTAAACTGCTTGCTCCCCACCCTCCTGTGGTGGGCTGGAGAAGAGAATTGGAGGCACAGAAGGTAAAGATCACTGGTTGAGATAAGGACAATTTACTGCAAACAGCAATGAAATAAAAAACTAACAGTAACAGAAACAATATTAATAACAGAGTGTACAAGAGGGATCAATTCACATGCAAGTGCTTACCATGCAGAACACAATGTTACCCATATCAGTTGCTTCACACTACCCAACCAGAAGGGACTCCTTTTCCCCCTGTCCCAACTCCCCTTTGCTCCCTGTACATGACATGAGATAGTATAGAATTATCTCAGGGTCCTAGCCATGCCCTTCCTGACTACTGCAAAAATTACCCCCATCCCTGCCAGAACCAGGACACAGGGAGTAACGAACAAGTTACAATGATATTCATAATAGGATCTATTCCAGGTCTTCATGCAGAGGCTGCAGCTGAGATAAATATACTACACACCAATGACTTCAATTATGCTACTTTCACTGCGGCTCAGTTAGGGCTTTTTGGCATGGTAGGAATAAACACAGATTGTGCTGCTGTTACGTTTATGTGCACCTTTTCCCTGAGGTTTCATCAGAACGTATTTATTCTAGTTTGTAAGAAAAAGGACAAGAATATTCCAATTTCAAATCTCAGTCCTCTGCTTATTGCTCCATGTGCTCTCTCTGTCAGCGTATTGCACTCCTTGATGTGCTAGGAAAACAAGACAGGGATAAAATCGCCCACTTTATACCCTTGGTTTTCATGTACCGGTAGCTGACAACCTTAAATTGATCATTGCCTGATGTGTGATCCTGAGGCTCATACTTATAAAGCAGCTGTGCTAACCTTCAGCCTCTGCTGTTCTTTTGGACACTGCCAAGGGCCGTTCTACGTGTTGTATTCCAAGCTGGCAAAATGTTTTGCCCTATGATACCAACCATTACAGTGTTCCCAAACTGCTGCTGGAGTGGTCACACTTCTCTCCATCTGGGCAAGAATCCAGTGCTGGAAAGCTAGGCCAAAGTTGGAAAGATTTGCCCTGTCCCCACCTGTGTGCCTCCAGCTGCCTGGCTTGTGTCACTGCTGTGGGGATTTTTAGCAAAAGAGAGAAAGGCCATTCATCTGGGCACCCTCTACTGCTCTCCAAACTGCATGGGATGATTGGGACCATCTTTAGAGGCACGTATTGGTCCCCAGTCACTCCCTTCGGTGTCTGCCTGGCACGGTGATACAGGTGTGCTGGGTTGGGTCACTGTGGCTCCCCACTTCTGTTAAACCCTCCCTGCTCACAGATGCGTGAGGTAGGGCCCTGCTGCCCTGGCGCATGGTCTTGGTTTCTGCTCCTTAACATTAGGTGGGATTCTAACCGGAGGGGAAGCCCCTTTGTGTTTCGCCGGCCCGCAGGCCTCAGCAGGTCGCTGCGCTGCGCTCGCAGGTGCGCGGGCCGGCGGGGGCGGCTCTCGGGCGCTCGGCCGGCGCGGTGCTCCCCGCCCGGGGCGGTGCGAGCCCGCCGGGGTTTGTTTCGCCTAGCAACGCCTGCCGGGCCGCAGGCGGCGGCGGCAGCTCCCGCCGGAGGCGGCCCCCCCTGCCGTGCTTGTGGCGCCGGGAAGGGGCTCCCGCCCCCCGCCATGAAGGTGGCGGAGCCGGGTCCGGGCTCCCTCCCGGCCAGGCTGTGCCGCGCCCCGCCTGCCCCCAGCCCGTGCCCCAAGTCCGGCGGGGGCCGCGCCGCGGGCAGGGGCGGCCGCGCCCCGCGCCCGGCTCCAGGCGCGGCGGACAAGGAGCCCGGGGGGCGGGCGGGCGCCAAGGGGCTGCTCATCACCCTGCCCGACATCGGGGAGGAGGCGGCGGCAGAGGGCGAGGAGGCGGCCGGCATCCCGCGGCGCCCCGCGTGAGTGCGCGCCCCCCAAACCTGAGGGGAGCGGGGGAGGTGTGCGCCCCTCGCTCCTGGGGCTTCTCCCCTCCTGGCCTTCTCGACCCATGGGTGCCCTGAGAGGTGCGGCGCGTCTCCCTGGGCAGGGATTTCCTTCCCCAGGGTGTATGCCAGAGGTGGGGAAGCGCACCTGCCTAG